TTCTATCACCAGTCTTTTGAAATTTGTGTATTATTGTATGCTCAGAAGAGCTAAGTCTATCATAGTTGATCATCATCACACAATATTGCTATTTCTGTGTACAATGAGCAGGAGAACATAATGAAAAATGCTGCCCACTTCCAGAGAGAGAGAACTGATTGTTTCTGAGTGCAGAATGAAGCATCTTGTTTTTAACTTTCTTTATGTTTCTTGCTTTTTTTCAACATGGCTAATAGAGAAATATGTTTTGCATGACCTCACACTTATAATGAGTATCATATTGCTTGCCTTCTCAGTGGGTGAGGGAGGGGCAGGAGGAAGATAAAGAATTTGAAAGTCAAAAAAATGAATGCTAAAAAATTTTAATAAATTTTTAAAACATTTTTAAAAGTACATAAGGGAATAAAGATGTGAATAGAATTTCAAAAAAGAGAAATGTGGGTGGAGGAGCAAAGCTAAAGCACCATGAGTTAAATCCCACAGCCCTTCCCCCTCAACAAGTGAATCAACATATTTTGTGAGAAAGGATTTCAAAGTGGGAGGATGCATAAATGGGGTGAGGGGAGTTGGAGGGTGGAGGAAAATGCCCTTATCAAGATGATGGCTTCACACGGAAGTGATGATGTTTCCTGTGGTTTCTTGATAAGACAAAAGACTGCAGGAGAATGGGAAAGGTGGCAGGAAAAATGGGATTGATTATGGAAAAATTGAAAGGAAAGGTCTCAATCTAACCTGGAAGAGAGAGGAGGTTCCTCCTAACTTCTCCAAGAGTGTTATCTCCATGAACAATATTTTGGCCTAGAAGAAGGGATGTGTGAGCTCCTAGAGCTCCTGGTACCCAGAAAGGTGAAGGAGGAAGGGAACATGAACCCAGATATGAGATAGAATGGCCAATGAGAACAATCATGGAAAGGGTAAGAGGTTGAAATGGACTGCATGATTTGGGACACAGGATAATTTTTTTTACCAAAAGGCTTCTATCCAACCTTATTTCCCTCACGTATTGATATGTGTGACACAGAGTGAGGTAGAGCAATGGTCATTATTAGTTATTTGTGTTCTGCAAAGGAGATACTAGATCTGGGGAGATAACCCCTCTGAGGACTTGGAGAAGCCTTTCCTGCCCACATAGACCTCCCTTTTCCTGAAGCTCACCTTCGAGGTTGGGGGTGTTTTCTCATATCTCTTCATCCAAATCCTGCTTGATCTTTATAATTTTGTTATATTTACTTTTGGTTTTCTGGTGTGTTGTTGTTCTTTACGTTTACATTGTTTTAATCATGGCATAGACTGTTTCCTTGGCTCTGCATCAGTTTATGTAGATTTTTCCATGCTTCTCTATATTCATCACATACATCATTTTGGTAGTATTGACCGCACAGTATCATTTCATTACGTTCATATACAATTTCTTTAGCCATTCCCCCATTAACAGGCATGTTCTTTTGGGGCATCCAATTTTTAGTTATTACAAAAAGTACTGCTACTGCTATAAATATTTTGGACTATGTGAGGACTTTTTTTCTTATCAATGGCTTCCTTGGGTAATACCCAAAGTAATGGAGTCTCTAGTTCAAAAGTATAGACATTTTAATCACTGTATTTGCATAATTCCAACTTGCTTTCCAAAATGGTTGTATCATTTCACAGCTCCACCAACAATGTATTAGTGTGTCTATCTTCCCACAACTTCTCCAATGTTGACTGTTGCCATTTTTGGTCATTTTTGCCAATTTTCAGGTTGTGAGCTAAAACCTCAGAGTTATATTGATTTGCATTTCTCTTATTAATAATTTAGAGCATTTTTCATGTGATTGTGAATACTTTGCAGTTCTGTTGAGAACTGTTTGTTCCTATCTTTTGACCATTTAGCCCTTGGGGAATGGCTTTTAGTCTTATATTTATTGTTTATATAATTTGATTATGTATCAGAGAGATTTGATACAAAGATCTTTTTCCCCATTCAACCACTTGCTTTCTTATCCTTAGTTCATTAATATTGTCCATGCAGAAGCTTTTCAGTTTCAAGTAAGCGGTTATCTATTTTATCTTTTGTACATGCTTCTATCTCTTGTTTGATTAAGACTATATCTCTTACCTATAGCTGTGAGAGGTGCATGATCTGTTTCTCTTCTAATTTTTTTTATAGTATGATCTTTTATATTAAGGTCATGTATCCATTTTGAATGTATTGTGAAGAGTGGTGTAAGGTGTTCATCTAAGCCTAATTTCTGCCAGACTGCTTTCTAGTTTTCCCAGCAGTTTTTAACAAACAGGGAGTTTTTCCCTAGGTAATTTATATTTTCCACTTTATCAAACACTGAGTTCTATTGTGTCTGCATCTCCCTTGTCTAGTCTATTCCATTGATCTATCTCTCTATTCTTCAACCAATACCAGATGATTTTGATGACTGATGTTTTATAATATAATCTGAGGTCTGGAAGTACTATTCTCCTTTAATTCCTATTTCTTTTTACCATTTCCTTTGATATTCTATATCTCTTGTTTTTCTAAATGAATTGTTACTATTTTATCAAGCTTTGTAAAGTATCTTCCTGGTAATTTGATTGGTATAGCACTAAAAGTGTAAGTTAATTTGGGGTGTAGAGTAATTTTTATTATATTGGCACAATCTAGCCATGAGCATTGAATATTTTTCCAGCTCTTTAAGTTGTCCTTTATTTCTTTAAGGAGTGCCTTGTAATTGAATCTATACAAGTCTTTTGTGTGCTTTGGGAAACTGATCTCCAGATATTTTATGCATTTTTGTAGTTACTTGGAATGGGATTTCCCTTTCTATTACTGCTTCTTGTGTCTTGTTATTATGATATAGAAATGCTGTTGATTTTTGAGGATCTCTTTTGTAGCTTGCAACTTTGCTGAAGTTATTAATTTTCTTAATTAGCATATTCAATGATTCCCTGGGGTTTTCCAAGAAACCATCATAATCATCAACAAATACAGTTTTATTTCCTCTTTATCTATCTTTTTTCTTTTAATTCCTTTCTCTTGTCTTATTGCTTTTGCTAGCATTTCCAGAATTATATCAAATAATAGTAGGGAGAGTGATCATCTTCGCTTCACTCTGTATTTACTGGAAAAGGTTCTAGTGTATCCCATGTATATGATGCTTGCTTTTGGTTGTAGATAGATGCTTGATGTTTTTAAAAAGTCTTTCTATGGCCTTACTTTACAGGGTTTTCAGCATAAAAATATGCTTTTTTAAAGACTTTTTCCTATATCTATTGAGATTGTGTGGTTTTGGATGTTTTTGTTTTTAATATGATTAATTATATTGTTTTCCTAATGTTGAACCATCTTTGTATCTCTGGTATAAATCTTACTTGATCATAACGAATGATTTCGTGGATAAATTGCTGTCATCTGATAGGATTTTGTTCAAAATGTTTGAATCACTCTTCATTAATAATGTTGACCTATAGTTTTCTTCTGGTGCTCTATCAATCCCTGGTTTGCTTATTAGGACTATATTTGTCCTAATGGCCCAGCACCAACAGTTCAGAGCTTTGCAGTGTTGGTGCTTCCAGGTTGCAGCCTTGTGTGGCCTTTTGCTCCTGAAGGGCTTTCAGCTGACTATCAAGGCCTGAGGAAATTTCCACAGCCTGAACCTGAGGTCACTGCAGTATTGGAAAGAAGGATCAGGGACTGCAGTGTAAGAGGGGATTTTGATGTTCTGCCCTTGAGTCTGCCAGTACAACTTCACTGCCTTTAGCATGGGAAGTAGGGGAGAAATGCTGAGTGAGCTCGAGGTCCACAAGCACCAGTTTTCTGAGGTTGGGGTTTCTCTCTTTTTTTTAACCTTCTTTTGGATTGTAGGTATCCTCGACCATGGAAATACATGAAGTTACTTTATCTTTGGTCCATAATTTCTGTTTTGGAGAGGTTTGAGAGGTTGTGGGGATTGGAGAAAAATTCTAGTCCACCATCTTGTTGTTCACATGACCTGGAACAAATCTGGGCACTTTCACTGACTGTCCCCTCTACCTGCAATGCTCTCCCTCCTCATCTCTACCTCCTGGCTTCCATGGACTCCTTTAAGTCACAGCTAAAATTACACCTTCTAAAGGAAGTCTTCTCTGATCTCTCTTAATTCTGACGCCTTTTCTCTGTTGATTTTTTTCCCCAATGTAGCCTATATATAGCTTGTTTACATATTGTCTTCATCAGACCATAAACTTTTTGAGGATAGGAGTTGTCGTCTACCTTTCTTTGTATGCCTAGCACTTAACACAGTGCCTGGCCTACAGCAGGTGTTTAGTTAATGTTTACTAACTGACTCTTCTGGAATAGACTCAATGTACCTCACATACAGGTCAGAAGGGCAGGTGGCTCTTTGATCTTCTTTCAAAAGCAGCTAGTTCCCCACCCCCATCCCCCAAGGCTTAATCCTTCCCCTCTTCAACAAAACCCACCAACACCAGCTTTCTGTAACTCTCAGACAGCTATCCCCTGAAAGGTGGGGATTTTGTCTTTGTAGGTAATACTGGGAAACAGAATTCCTAATTCTTTGGATAAGACATCAGCCATGGAAACCAGAGCTCCTAAACTACAGATAGTACCTTCTATAGAGGGCTTTGCATGGTGGTCAAAAAGCCCTGCGGTCACGTGATAGGAAAGGTAGTTAGCAGGAGCTGGTCTTTTGTAAAACATATTCAAAAGACAATGAACCAAATAGGAGACCATCACGGATGGTACCCTACAGTAGTGACTGGGGGGAAATGAAGGCATCTAGTCTCATCCCACTAGGCTGAGGAGTCTCTGTAAATAAGCTACAGGTGAAATCGACATTCATTGTGACCCAAAAGGCTGGTTGCGTTTCCCAGTTAGGCTGGATGGGGGTGTGCCCAATATCAGGCCCCTAGCTCTAGCTGCTTTTTGGTCCTAGTATCTGCTGTATGAGAATGTGGCTTATTACATGTAATGAGGCAATGGCCTCAAATATAAAGACATCAAGCTCAGAAAACCAGAAATGCAGACAACTAACACAATTTATTTATTTGAGTTTCATTCTTTACACAAAAGACTCTTCAACATGCATTATATTGAGGGGGGAGATTTAGAATGTTGTTTCATACACAGAGTACAATAGATCTCTAAATATTTCCATTAAAAATATATGTATATATACTTTCATTCCATTTAAACTATTCTCTTATCTGTTGCCAGGCTGATCTAGTTAGAGAGAGCTTTCTGTACCCCTTGCAGCCAGCTGGCAGTCTGGCAAGAACACATTCTGGTACTGAAAATACTCAAAGGCTCACAAACTAATACTAAGCATTTAGGGGTGTGTGGTTGACAGCACCACCCACCCTTCAAGTCACCAACTCTCTTGAGGTGTTCAGTCTATACCCAGCATGAGCTTTAAGAAGGAAAAGGAAGAGGAAAGTGTTCCCTCTTCTTAAAGATGCTTAAAAAGTGGGTTACCAAAATAACATCCTCTGCAAGAATTCAATGTCCCATCATTTAACTTTTTTTCCCCAAGAGAAAATACAGGCAGAATCTAAAGAATCCCATTAAGAACTGTGGGTGGCTAATTCCCAACCTTAAAGGGACTGGATTGGAGGAGGAAAAAAACCCAGAGACCTTTCCACAAAAACTATACAATTCTGACTCTACACAAAGCAGCCCCCTTACTAGGGTAACTTGACTAATCCTTGAATTTCAGAATCCACCCTCTTTGGGCTTCAAATGGCTTTCACCTAGAAGGATTCATGCATTTGGAACCTTCCCTTTCCAAAAAAGTCCCCTGTACCCAAGAATCTAAGCAAGTTCCAGCATTTCCAAGCATCCCAAATACTTGTCACTTATCCAGGGGCCTTACATGACAAAGCTCTTTGCCTGAATACCCCTAGAACAATCCATTCTATTTAGGATTTGCACAAATACATTTCTTAAAGTTTAAAACAGTACGTAGTACACTCGTACACTGATAGAAACTACTTTTGCAGACAATTTCTAACACCGTACAAATAGCACCAAGTGTATGTCCAATTATACAGAAACTAACTTGTAAACAGAGAGACATGCAAGGTTTTATGTCTTGCTTGAAATGGACTTGAAAGCCAACAGCAATTAGTCATAGTAGAAGAGCAACATCAAGGTTTGGTATTTTTTAACATTTTCTGAAGAGACAGGCTCACACATGAACAAGGGAACTGGGAATATGGTACTCTTCACAAAGGAGTCACAGGACAATACTACTGGAAACTGGAATTGCAGGCCCACTGATATCTCAGCAGAACGTAGCTCTTAAACACAATGTAATCTCAAGCATCACTTCTAAATGGCCTGCATTTTCAAAATAATTCTAGATATTTTTACTGTAACTGAAATAACACATTGAATATCTTCCCAAAAGACAGAAAACACTCTTGGACAACCATTTAAAGCTGATAAGCTAGATGATCTCAATGTTAATGCCCATCTTGTGCAGATCCGTTTGCTTGTCAACACTGTTGCTTCCCCTCTGCTGGAAAACGGGGGGGATCCTTCCTTCTTTATGTTATTCATTTATCGCTGGTGGAGGTTGGAAGGAAAAACAACATAAGAACACAGCAATGAAAATTAGGCAAGCATCTGGGACTGAATATTTTCAATATCTTAGCATACAAAATTCTAAATTGTCTTATTTTAAGAAGAGGGAACTTCCTACTCTAAGTTCAAAAGCCTCACTGCAACATTATTCTATGGCTAGTGGAGAGATTTATTGGGACAACCACTATAGAGGTGATGAGGTTATATCACAATAAAAGTAATTTCCCAGCCAGATTACATGATTCATGATTAGAAAGCTCCTGAAGAGTCAATTATTTAACTAAGCAAGATGATTAAAGAACCATGGAGCTGGGCTGTGGGAACACAACATCAGCTTAATTATGGACAAGTTGTTGAGTCAAGGACTGAAAACACACTTATGAGAAGAATCTCATCAAGAGAGGCCCCTTAGAGTTATGGCAATTAATATACCCAATGAAAAGTTGACCAGCTACCCTCAGCCACAATCTTCACTGTGTGGAAGTGCCTCACCTCCATACCTCCTAATTCCATACTTGAGCAAACGTGTCATACCCAGTTACTTTTGAATGGTCTCCCTTTAGGGTCAGAAACAAGCTTTGCCCGGCTGTTCAGTGGCACAGTGGACTGCGATTCCAGTGACTCCAAGCGCTGAGTCAGTGCCCGTTTCTGCTGAATTGCTAGGCTCAGCAAAGACTTCAAGGTCTTCTTTTCATCTTCTGCGGCAGCAAGCTGTTGCTGTATTTCACCAAGCTGCAAAACATACTCATCACACCTGCAAAAGAAGAAAAAAAGGCAATTCAGCACCTCCCACAGATTGTTTTACCTGAACATCTCCGGTCTCCCTTCAGGCATGGGTCCTCAAGCAGGCAATCACACTCAACCCCTTTATCTTCAAGGACCAACTGGATCACCCATGGGCAAGCAGCCGCCATGTTGTGTCCTTGTCCTTGTAAAGAACACAGTTCTGCCCTGCTTACAATCTCAATGTAGTTCTTCTCAATCAGTGAAGTAAAGGGGAGAAGGGGATCAATCCCTCCATCAAAAAGGCTAGAGACTCCCATCTTAAGGCAAACCTCTAGTCAATAAATAATAACAGCTCCTATATGAGTGGTGTTATAAAGTTTATAAAGCTCTTTTCTCACAGCATTGAGTTTGCTAATCAAGGGATTGTTGCCTTCATTTTTCAAATGAAGGAAGCCTCACAAAAGGGATGTGACTCATCTAAGATCCTACATCTAGTAAGCATGAGCCAGGGTGCAAACCTAGCTAAGCTCTGGGTCCACTGCTCTTCGCTACATCCTTCTGACTGAAAATATCAAAAAAACTGCTGCATGAGAAAACTCAGTCAAACATAGTCTTGGTTTTAAGAAAGCTCCTAGGCAAGGTCAACTGTCGAGGTAACCAGTGTCAATCTCTTGATGGATTCTCTTAATGCTTTAGCACTAAGTATTCATATGAATACACCTCCTGCTGAGGGTAGCTTACAAGAAAGGGATCCTGTACCACACCGAGCTAAGAAGGCAGCACCCCCCTCTATTCTACAGTTAAGCAAAACAAAGAGATGCAAGCCAACTGATCTGTCCACTATGGCACAGAATGTTACTAGCAAAGTCAGAATCAAATTGGTTCTTTCACACAGTGTCTTGTGCTTAGACTAGTGATGAGAGGTATGGATAACATGGGTAGGAACAGTCATGTGTATGCATTGTCTTCTCTGGGAAGAAAAGGTACGTGGCCTTGATGGGGTATCGGCCCAAGTCGAGATCCTCACCCCTTGCCCCAAAGGGAATCTGGCTCTACAGGCCCCAGCCCCTTATCTCTCTTAGAAAGCCCTGGCCCAACCTTTTGATCTTATTCAGATGCCTTTCAAACTTCCTCCTTCCAGTTCCCTTCATTATCTATTCCCATTGTTTATTCAGTCTCTCAGACCTTCTGAATGCAATTCTCACCTAGACCCTTTTCCCAACCACCCCCCCCCTCCTCTGGCCACCCAAAGTTACTTTAGCGTATATAAGATCTACCCTGGCCCCCATTCAAATGCTGAGAATCTCTCATGCCTAGAGGCTGAGCTTTCTCATGCCTGCTCTTCCTTACGGGCATTACCTGGCCTATGTGATTTATCTCTAATAAACTTTTTCTCTGGCTGGAAAAAGATTTGAGTTAATTTCTTTCAGGCAGGGCCTGGCGCCGCGATCTTGGGGTCCGTTTGAGCACCCCAAACCTCTAAACCTCTTCAGTCTCTCCTTTCTCCCCTCATCACACATACACCATACATATACAATACACACATACACATACACACATACTCACATACACTGTGCAAAGATTAGTTTGGGGGCACATGCCCACTTTAGGGCAATCAAGGCTTGGAAATCTCTCACTTGGCCCAAACTCTGTGTTGCCTCACAACCAGGAAGAGAGTTCACAAGAGTCTTGGGGGAGTTTTGGAAACAGAGAAGAGGTAGAACTGAAATTTACCTGCTGGCAAACACCACCCGAAGGGAGGAAAAAGTAGCAGCATCCTCCTTCAGAACTTTCAGTTCATGCCTTAATTTATTCATGGTTTCTGACACCACAAGCTTCTCATCTTCATATTTGCGTTTCATATTGGAAAGGGCACCTTCAGCAGCCTAGGGGAGAAAGAAAAGAACACGGGTCTACTGGCAAGCTGCAATGGAGAATTTGCCAAGCCCTATCACAGTTGGAGGAGGTTCAATTTGATTCCTCCCCACCCAATGCTAGTACTTTCCCTCTGATATTCCAATTTACCCTTTGTCTATCTTGCATGTACATAGTTGTTTATGTGTTGGCTACTCCATTAGTATGTGAGTATCCGGAGGACAAGAATCATATTTTAGCTTTTTTTTTTTATTGTTTTTGTTTCTCTAGAGCTTAGCACGGTGCCTGGCACATAGTGAATGCTTAATAAACACTTACTGATTTGATTTTAGCAACCAAGTGAACCAACCTCTCAACATACTTTACATTATGGTAGTTACTTACTGTTAACCCATTACAGTTATCCCTTCCATATCAAGGGGGTTAGGAGTGTGGTGCCCTGCAATCTGGAAAATCCACATAAAATTTTTTGGCCCTCTCTTTGTACCAGAGAAGAAGTCTGAATTATTATGGTATTAAAAGATAAAATAAGTTGATGTTATACAATACTATACATATATTTTATGCATTTCTGGGTTTCTAAACTTTTTCTGTGTCATCTGCTGGACTTCAAGTGCCATCTGTGGCTTCCACAAAACTCCCCCAAAATTCCCATTAAATTTCTTATGCCAACCCTTGATATAGCAAAATAGCAATAGGGAAAGCCAAGATGTGGCAGGGATAATTATAGTCACTAATTTTAACCAAAACTGTAAGATTAACCTATCCAGGGGGCTAGTCCACAAGTTAGATAAATTCCCATCACTATGAGCCTTGGGTATGACAAGTAATAACTTGCACACAGGCAATGACAAGTAATTTTGTACTTTGTTGGAGTAATAACCCCTTAAAGCAGCAGAAACTAGAAAAAGTCAACTATTCCTTGTATCTTTCCAAGTTAACATGTTGAATTATTTTAACCTCAAAAAGAAAAAGAAAAAAAATGGTCTTTTGGATGCTATACATCCAGTTGCCTGTTTTTTCCAACCTGACAAAAAGTCATCTTTGAGTCCTTAAATCTGTTTTTCATAGCTTGTTTCTTTCTACCTCTGCTCTAGAGGCAAATGTGACATGTCAGTGTAGTGTCCAAAGTGCCCAGGATTTCCACCAATAGCTTACCTGCTTGTTGGCCTTCAAGACAGTCCTCAGAGTTGCTATTTGCTCTCTTTGGGTGTTCAACAAAGACTTCAATTTCATTATTTCATCAACAAGAGCGTTTTTATCCTTCAGCTCTGTTGACATGGCTTCAAGAGACTTGTTGCGCAATGAGATCGCCAGGGCTGTCTGGAGTTGCTTCACCTGGCTTCCAATGATGGAAATTTGGTTGGAAAGACTCTCAGGTTCCTTGTCATACTCTTCTCCATCAGACTCACAAGGAGAATCACTAACAGACTGGTTGCTGCTGCCACTTTTCACGGTGCTTGTCTCAGGGCTGAACAAGACTTTCACGAAGAGATCATTAGACTGGCTTCGGCACATACGCACATTGGTCACAACATCATTGGCATGCCTTTTGCAGGTATGGACAGGGGCCCCTTGGCCATCTTTATAGCCATCCAACAGGCTACGATCAGGTAACAGGTTGTTGCAGACACAGACTCGGCGGTACATGTTGGCCAGATCTTCAGCAATCACCTGCAGCTCCTCCTGGGCTAGGCTCAGTTTGCTCTGAAATTCTGATGAGCGTTTCCTCGAAGCCTGAAGCTCATTCTCTAGATTAGTAATGATCTCTTGCTTCTGCTTACCTGATTTGGCCCAGAATCGTATCTTCTCCGTTAGGTTTTGAGACTCTTCTTGCCAGGCCTCGTTGTCCTGCTTGTACTTGGCTTCAAAATCCTGGTATTTCTGATGCAGCTCCTGAAGTTCCGTCTTCAGCTTGGCTACTTGGGAACAATTTGACGCTGCACATTTATGTTCCAGACTGTGGAGTTCACTGCCACTGCTCTTCTCTCCATCTTTTCCAAAGAGCAAACCCAATTCGTTACTGCCGTACCGTTTGTTTAAAGCCTGGATTTGCTCAAGAAGGTAGTTATTTTGAGCTTGCTGTTTGGACAGCGCATCCTTTGTACTATCAAGCTGTGTCTGCAACTCTTTTATACTACTTAATAGCGATGACTTTTCATGATCAACCTGTTGGTACAAAGCAAAGAATTTCGAACGGGAATTAAATTTCCTTCTAATGTTGGCCTTGAACCGAATGACCACTTGTTTTGTAGAGTGGATTCCTTCATGGATAAGAGATTCAAAAGGTCTTAGGGGTCATGTAATCCAATCTCTAAGATTCTAGAGTTTATCATCATTGTACGTTTAGAAAAGGGCATCAAGGAGAGGGGGGAAAGGGACCGGGACTCTGTTTGACTCCAGATCAATATTTAATCCTGTGGAAGGGGAGAAAACTTTTGTGGCCTTTACACCACAGTGTAAGGAAGCCAGTAAATATCCAGAGGACAACCTGGATAGTGGAAGGACTTGAGTTCATGCTATATGACGAATGGTTGAAGGAAATGAGGAGGAGACGAGACTTGGGTGAGGGAGGGCGAAATGGCCATCTTCAGGTATTTGAAGAGCTGTGATGTAGAAAAGGGCTTAGACTTGCTCTATTATTTGGCCCCAGAGGACCAAACTAGGAACAATAATAGGTAGAAGTTGTAACGAGGCTCAATGTCAGGGAAAGGCCAACAGAGCCGTCCCAAAGTATAATTGGCTGCCCTGAGAGGTGACTGGTTCCCTCCTTGGAGGTCTTTAAGCAAAGGATGAAAGACCACTTGTTGGGTATGCTGCACTGGGGATCCTTTGGGGGATATGGGTTGGATTAACTAGATTTGAGGTCTCTTTTGAATTCTGAAATCCTGTGATTCTATGGAGGGGAAAAAAAACACCTACTCTTCCTGACTTCACAGTTTCTGTTGGTAGTAGCACCATTCACACGCAGCCTCCCAGGTTTGTAATCTTGGGGTCAACTTTGGACTTTTCTGTCTTCATGACTTTTCCTAGCCAGTCAGCTACCAGGGTCCTGCTGATTCCACATCTCCTGCATCTGTCTACTATGCTCTCCATTCCCCCAGTAATCTTGCTAATAATTCAGGGCCTCCTTATCAATTACCCAGACTCTTATAATAGCTTACTACCACCTCTCTTCTCTGCTCCTCAGGCCAAAAGAATCTTTCAAATGCACTAATCTGGTGATATTACTCCTCTGTTCAAAAAAAAAAAGAAAAGAAAAAGAAAAGAAGGAAAAAGAAAAAGAAAAAGAAAAAAGAAAGTAAAACAAAATTAAAAAAATGAAATTAAAAATTTCCAAGGCACCGTGAGTACACAGATGAACACAAAAGGGGGCCCTATCCTCATAGACCTTGGGTCCTGCTGAGGGGCTGCAAGACATATCCTGATGATTAAGTTCCAGTAGGTAGTAATGGGAGTGAGGGACATTTCTTACAAACTGATCTAGGAAGCTTTAGAAAGAGAACCTTAACCACTGGGGCAAATCAGGTCAATCTTCTCAGAACTTCCCTCTTAAGTGTTGAATGCAGGAACACCTGCTGGTAGCTGACATATAGATGACAAAAAGGGGAATATTCTGAGAGTAGGGTAGAGCAGAGCTTTGTGGATATGGGGAGAGCTTTAAATGCCAACCTACAAAGTTTGTCATTTATCCTCAAGGCAATAAGAGGCCCCTGTAGATTTTGGATCAGGAGAGTAAGATGGTCAGACTTGTCTGTGACTTAAGAACATTATTTCAGCAGCTTCATAAAGAATGGTTTGGAGAGAGGGAAGAGTGAATAAAAGACACTCTTCTAGCTGTCATTCTTCAAAACCCACCACAGCCTGACCCCATGCCCCTTTTCTGGCCTGCTCTGTTGGGACTTACAACCAAACACTCTATGCTTCCCTAGATGGCTCTACCTCCTGGCCCTGGTATGGACTCTTGTGCCTCCCATATGGCATGGCCTCCCTCCTGTTTGTCCGAGGAATTCCTTTAATGTTCCAATGAAAAGCCTCCTTCTCCAGGAAGCCTTCCCTGTTCCCCGGTTGGTAATGACCTTGTTTTACAAGTCTCACGTAGACCTGGGCTTTATAGGTCTTTGACAAAGGCCCCATGTCACATGGTATAGTACAGCTATTCCTATAGATGTCCTACCATCCATACTAGAATGTTAAGAGCTCTCAACCTCAAAGAGCTATCTTCTCTAAACTCTGTTCCTTCCCCAGTGCCTAGCAGGTACTCTGCATACAACAGGAGCATAATCAAGATTTATTATAGAGTCCTCTAATAATTACCTAGATTTCAAACCTCTCTTTCTTTTAGGAAAAAAATACATACGAGGTTGGCTTAGAAAATTCATTAATAATTACTTTGATCCAACTGACAGTCACAATGTCAAACAAAAAGCAATCATACCAATCTTGCCAGAAGCAAATTCCAAAGTTTCAGTCTACCAAAAGGAATAGAGGAAGAGCAAAGAAACTGCTTTGGGGCGGGGGGAGTGGTGAGGCTTCATTAGTCTGTGTTCTCTGCCAGTTCTCTTTTAAATGATGTCGATCATCCCTATGCCCCAGGATGTGGCACTTTGAGAATATTTTTAGTCATGTATGCAGTATGAGAAACAACTAACTGGGTAACCAGTAAGCTGCTCAAGCATATTAAAATCCAGGCTCTCTCCTCCATTCCCTTTGCTAATCTTCCCAGAATATCAGGTAGGAGGAGAGGGCCACTTTTCCATGTGTATATATATAAATATGTATGTATGTATGTATATGTATGTATATGTATATATGCATACATGCGTGTATGCATATATATGCGTGTGTATGTATATATGTGCATGTGTATGTGTGTATTGTGTGCATGTGCGTCCCCCCCTTTGTACAAACAACTATAAGGAGTTATTTCTGAGGGCACCACTGCTGCCAGGTACTAGGAGTATGAATGACCCCAGCTGTGAAAGCCAGGCCAGAGACAAAGAACTTCACACGTAACAGTGAAAGAAAAAAATAAATGCTTAAATGGGAGACTTTCTTGCCATATACCTCAAGCATCACTTAATAACAGATGGAAATTAACATCTAGACCCTGAGACACTACACTGATCTTCTGTGGTTAAAAAAAGACAACAAAACACAGGCAGTTTATTCCATTCTAAAGGTGAATTTCCTGCCAAAGAACAGAAACTTTTTAAACACTCAAGCAGGTGACATAGTAGGCCTTCTCTGCTTAGTATATGACAAGGAAGATCAAGAAAAATTGCAAGGGACTTTTTTTTTCCAAATCTGGAAGGAGGAAATGAGAGAAATGATAAAGTTCACAGTTCATGATGGCCTTGGTGACAGAAGTATTCTCTCTTAAGAGAGAGTCAGGGCCAGCCAGCAGTCAGCTATGTAGGCAATGCTATGGCCAACTTCCACCTTGGAAGTGCTCTCGGGGGATAGATCCTTGAGCAGAGCAGCTGTGACAAATCAAGTTTCTAAACTCATTCATACAACTGGTCAATGAGAGCTCAATAAGATGTGCTGCTCTACTGGGGCCCATTTGATTTCTCAAAGTACCTTGCCAGTAGCAATAAGAGGATCTGATCACAGTATCATCTTGCCCCATTACTTTGACTTCCTGTTTTGCCTCTTTCTTTGCTCTTCATAATGAATGATGTCTATCCATATGTAGGCTCAGTTCTTACCAGATAGCCCAAGCCTAAAGTAAACTGTTTGGGACTTCAATTGCTGTAAGAACCCAAAGGTCTACCACAAGTACAGAGACCAGCTCCTAAGCCCCTGGCTCCATTCTTGCTCTGGGTGCCTGCTACTAGGAACCCTTACTTTAATACCGACACTCATCCCCACCTCAGTACTCAGACTCATCAGGTAGGTCCATGATTCTTTTCTCTCCAGTCTTCTAACCTGTCGATTCCTATAGCCTGAACCCTCAGAACCTGGCCTTTGTCTATCTAGCCTCTAGGGAGGCTGCTTGAGCCTCCTTATTTGATCTGACTGTTCTGGTCCTGACCTCTGGTCCACCTGATGCTTTCCCGGCTGGCTGGACTACTGGCTGTGGCTAGCTCTGTCATTATCCCCCTTCGCTCCACTGCCTTCCCAAGCATCCCAATCCAAGCAGACCCTTATCATCTGCCTGTCATGCTGCAATGGCCTCCTCATTGGTCTTTCCCCGCACCGCTCTCCCCAATTCCAGAACCATGCTTTCCATCTGACTCTCCTGGCTCCGACATGTGAGCTGTAGCCTTACCGTGCCAGGAATCAGGTCTCCATACCACTTCTTGACCATCTCCATACCATGCTGCTGTGTGCATACCTACCCGCCACCCTTACCAGATCCCCTCTCTGGTCGTCTTCCTCCATTAGAGGGAATTCCTTGAGGGCTTATATTTGCATCCCCAACACTTAGCACAGTGCCTGGCACATGGTAAATGCTTAAGAAATAGTTGACCCATCTATTCATCTTCTCCTTTCTCCCAGTCCCCTTTCCACACAGCTGTTTGGTTGATATTTTTGAAGCACAGGTCTGCCCATGTCACTCCCTTGCTCAGGAATCCCCCACGACTCTCTGGTGCCTAAAGAATGAAATACAAACTCCTATGGCATTGAAAGTACTTCCCAGTCTAGTTCGAGCCCACCTTCCCAGGCTGATGACATAGCACACACTTCCCCCCACCCACTGTCTCTAGGATTCAGCCATATTGACTGTTCTTTAAACCATGATATTCTTTCTCTCACCTCTCTGTGTTTTTTGTACTTTTTTGTTTGTTTTTTGGCTTTCTCCCAGGGCTGAAATGCTCTCTCTCCCTTCTAGCTTCCAAAAATTGCCTCTTGGAACCTCTACTGGGATCTCTTCAAGGGCTCAGTTCAGGTGAAACTTCCTTCAAGAGACCTTTCCTTGCCCCACTGGTTGTCAAGCCTGCCCCATACTCCCCAAATCACTTGGTATTGCTTTTGTACATATCCTATATTTGTTTATCCATCCTGTGGCAGAGAAGTCCTTGAAGGCAGGGTGGATCTCTCCCTTTCGTCCTTGGATTTCCCGTGTCTAGCACACAGTAGGTTTGTACTTACTGTTTATTGACTTCGAAGTCTCAGCAATATCCCGCTACAGCAGAAGAAACATGTGGTTAAATATAATTTTGTGCAACTAGCATGGACCTGAGTCACATTGACCTCGGTTCCTCAGCACTAAGAGTCCTGTCCACATGGGCCCTTCCCTGGTTGGCATTAGAAGAGCACCTTCAGCCTCCATTGCAGGACTCCGGCTCCAGGATGGGCTTGGTAGAGAGTCATTATCTGTGCTGCAGAAGAACATTTTTCTGCCACAAAAGTGGGAATGATTTAGAGTGGGGGAAGTAATTTTCCAGAGGCAAATATTCTTTTAAAAAAGAATCCTCTTACAAAGAAGAGCTGAGTCACTCAATGTTAAATGAGGCGTCAGCAGCTGCAACAACACAGCAGATTAGAAGCAAAGGCACATTATGGTCCCATTATCATTAGCAAAAAGCCTTCCCGTCATGGGATGGTAGGGACACCATTTTCTGAGAAAGTGCTTTTCAGATGCTTTTAAGATACCAGAGCCAGGCCAAGTCAAATGCTGCCAGCAACAGACAAGGGACAGGAGGCCTGTTTCCTTAAAGGGATAGATTCAAAGGCTCCAAGATCTAGAGGTAGAAAAGACTCAAAGGTTATCTGGTCATAACTAGATTCTCTCGTACTGAATCACACAGGTTGTAAGTGTCAGAGGCAGAATTTGAACCCAGGTCTCCCTGGGGACCTCTGATTCCAGAGACAGGGCTCTTTCTAGTGTACCATCCTGCATCCTATACTGGATTCTTCTTTATCCATTCTATTTGAGAGCCCAAGTTCTCGGCACTTTAATCTAGCCCTTTTAGAATAGGCAGGCTTAAGGCGATCCTCTATTCTTTTGGCAATGTCTTCCCCCGTTGGAAAATAAATTCCCGGAAGGCACATGCTGTCTTGTTTTCTTGTATTTGTAGCCCTAGAACTCGGTAGTGTCTGGCATACAGTAGAAGCTTAATAAATGTTTGCTCTATCATTTGTCTGTCTATCCAGCTAGCTAGCTATCTAATGATGTTATGCTGGGATATAATTCGTTTATTGTCATGGGCCACACCGGTTTCAGTTTGATTTAGCAAAAACTGTTCAGCCCAGAATATTCCTAATGAGGCAGAATGATTGCCAACTCAGTTCAACAAACATGTATTATCGCCATGTACGTGTTTTCAAGTGGAACAGACTCAGAGATAGGCAGTTCCCAATTCATCCTAAACCTTATTTCCTGCTCCTGAAAAGCTGGGCAATTGTTACCAATCACCAATCTCAAAGCTATTTCAAGAATGAGTGAGAGGTCAAATACCCATGGAGCCATGTGAAACAAGATGTTTCATATAACTCTCTTTGAAGAAAATGTCTGAGTTGCCAAATGGCTAAGAATTTATCATATGATCTTCCAAATGTCAGGAGAGCAAAATCGAGGGCATCTTGTTTCTGCAACAAGTCTCAGAGAGGTAAGGTTACAACTCCTCGACCACCTCGAAGGTGTTTTCTCATTGGCTTATTTTAAGACGTGCTCCAAATGTCTGCATTTTTTTTTTCAGGAAAAGTCATTTGTGGAGGAAATGCCTTTGACTTTCCACATCCTAGTCCCCTTTCATCATATCTGCAGATCATCACTGCGTCTCTGCCACTGCCGAGCCCCACTAGCACTCCTCACCTATCTCACCTTTGAAAGCCCTAGAGACAAAGGTACACTAAGGCCACCAGGTTTGTTCCACTGAAGGAAGTCTAGAAACAGCTCAGCAAAAGAAAGCCAGCCAAGTACTTCTCAGAAGTATTTTGCCACCTTGGATTGGAGTGCTGAACTCTTCTAAGAGGTTCATTTATGTTTAGATCCTCATGCTGCCTAGCTGACAAACACACAGAAAAGAGCCCTCCTACCTGCAGAAGCTGCTGGTTCAGTTTCTGAATCTCTGATAAACTGAGCTCACTCAAAAGATCACACACTAAACCAGGCTGGGGCCTGGAGCTGTTGCTATTCTGAGGCATGGACATCATGTTTTCTCTGCGGTTCCGGAAGGTTTGATTGTTGTAGCCAATGCCCAGGCCATCGTCATTACACTGATTCAGGTCATCGAAATTTGTCGGCAGAGTCCCTAAGGAATCATAGGTGTTGATGTACCCAGACAGCACCCTGCGCAGCTCATTTTTTTGTTCTCGCTCACTCTGGAGGGTTTCCAAGGCCTCCTCTAGATGATGATCAGAGATCTCCTTCTGTCGAGTTACTTCAGCCAGACGACTGTTTCTAAGCTCAATTTCTTCATCTCTTCTCTGAACTTCACGTCTTAAGCCTTCATATTCTGCCTGAAATGAAAGTAAAATGTCTTTTCTTCAACCAATTATTTAGCTCATGATTTTGTGTAGCTCATGATTGTGAATTTACACTTCACCTCATTTATGCTAGAAAAGACCTTGCTCAGAGCCATTCCTCAATAGATAAGAACCGAAGGATAGGAACAGGCAGTTCTCAAAGAAGAAATTCAAGCTATCAACCATCATGTGACAAAATGCTCCGAATTACTAAAAATTTCAGAAATGCAAAATAAAACAATCCTGAGGTTCCATCTCAGCAAAGAGTACAAAAAAGGGAAATTACAATTGTTGCAGGAAAAGAGGCACATTAATGCACTGTTGGAAGAGCTGTGAATTGCTCTGGCCATTTTAGAAAGCAATCTGGAACCATGCCCCCAAGGTCACTAAATTGTGACTATGACTCAGTGATACTGCTATCAGGCCTATAGCTCAAAGAGATCAAAGAATGAGGAGGACTCATATGGACAGATTTATTTATAGTAGCTCTTTTTTTATGGCAAAGAACCGAAGACAAAGGGAGTCAAGTCCAGTTCACTCAATGCCAACCACTATGCTAAGCATCAGGGATTCAAAGAAAAAGCAAAAAACAAAAAACAAAAATCCTAGCTCCCAAAGAATTCACTGTCTAATGTAAAGTTCATCAAAGAACTGAACAAATTATGGTATATGAATGCAATGGAATATTATCATTGCACTGTAAAAAATGATGAAAAAGAAACCTTGGGAAGATTTGTATGAACTGATGCAGTAAGGTAAACAGAGCCAGAATAATTATATATAAGGTGCAGAATGAGATATATACATTTTTGGAGGTGGCCAGTGTGAGAATTTGTTTTGCTTGACTGTGCATATTTGTTACAAGGGTTCTGTTTTTATTTTTCCTCTGTGTGTGTGTGTGTGTGTGTGTGTGTGTGTTGGAGGAGGGGGGTAGTTGGAGAAGAGAGGAGGGGACAGCAATAGAGTTTTTAGGGGGAAAAAAAAGAGGGCCATTGAAGCATTTTTTTAAATGCACAGAAAAAAGAAGGAGGGCCAGAAGGAAACGCAGACAAGCAGGATAGCTTTGAAAGTTACAAGATAAATTTATCTTATTCTCAAAAGGAAAGGGCAACTGTAAGTAATAGCTGTAGTGTTATATTCTACAATCTTCTTTTTCTATTCTACTTCATATGTGGAAATTCTAATCTTCATCAGTGTTGAGGTTCAGCATTCAAAAAAATTTTTTAAAGAAAAAAATTACCTTGTTCTTACCTCTTCACTCCAGTCAGGTGTCCCTATCTGTCTGTCCCTGGAAGGACAATCAGTCAAGGACCAATTCTGACTCTGGGCTGGAAGTCTACAGAGAGCTCCTGGCTCCAAATCTGTGGCTTGATACCAAGTTCCATTCTTGCTGCTGGTGCCTATTACGCAGACCCTTGCTTGAATTCTGAACCCTCATTGCTCAGAGTTCTTGCTTGGGTCTCCTATTCCTGAGTCTCTTAACCTGTCTATTCCTGAAGTCTGCTACTTGACTTCACCTGCCTAGATGTATGTCCAACAACTGCGTGGTTCTCTGTTCTAGATGACAGCTCTAACCCACCTGACTTATACCATTCTGGCCAGCTGAACTCTTGCTCCTGGTCAGCCTTTTCCTGTTGCCACCTACGATTTAATTTAATAGTCTGAGAAAACTGCTCTAAGGGAACGTTTAGTCAAGTACAATGAGCAGCATTGTGGAACTTAATAGGTCCAATTCAACAAGCACTCCCTCATGAAATGCATCCTCTAGTCAACAACTGTGCTGGGTTCTGGGGACACAAAACCAAAAAGTGTACCCAAAGAGCATAGTAAACACATGGCACTAGCAGAAAAGGCTAGAATCCCATCTCTAGGCTCAATATCAGGATTCCATCTCATCAACAATGGCTCAGAGAAGAATCTAGTCATTCACTGCTGTCCTTAGAGTATTATAGCCCCTACCATGATGCCCTGCACATAATGCACACTGAATTCAATTAAGGCAGGAAAGGACTTTAATAAGAATTCTGGTATCTTGGGCGATACTTAAAAAAATATCCATGACTTGTTGGCCATGTTGAGGTGGGGGAAAGCATAGAGAAGAAGGGACTGTCTGGAAATTGCTGATATAAAGATAGGCATCAATACAACTTTAATAAAAAATTTAAAAATAAGGACTAAAGAGATCACTGGCTGTATGAGGGTCTCATGTGAGCTCCCTACACACACACACACACACACACACACACACACACACACCCTCAAAAACAAAACAAAACAAAACAAAATTATCACATCTGCTACAAAACCTGCCAAACACTCAGACTTTGCACCTTATATTCACAGGGTACTTAGAGAGTTCTCCAGTGAATGTGCTATCATTTTAAATGCCCCTCCCAAAACACTGGGCATTTCCTTTTTAAAACTATATGGACTATTTTAGAGCCAGATAGTTTAAAAAAAACAGTCTAGCTGACCAAGAAGTAACACCCACCCGAGGGTTTCTTGGGGAAGCTACTACTCCCGCCCCATCGTTGGGGCTCAAAAGCGCACTGAGCAAGACCATGGCTAGAAGCCCACACCAGCCTAGTGATCTCAAGCTTAAGGAGCACCTTACTACCAAGAGGCTGGATGCCCCTGCTTTCAAAGATCTTAAAGTCCAAATCCTTTCTCAACAATTCATTTCTAAGTAAGACTTCAAGTCAGAAGGATGTTCTACAGTACAGCCCGTTCCATGGGGGTGAGGTGTCTAGAACAGGTAAACATTAGGCAACAATGAGGGATCCTCTTCCAATACCATCTTCCATGACAAGGAGGGATTTATTTTTCTGCAGCTAAGCCATGTTTTTCCTTGGTGCCCCTAAGTGTTCAGGGGAAAACAATCCCCAAGAGCACAATTTTCAAACCTTGCATGAGACACATAAATGCCTAGCTCCAGCTCTGCTCTAGTGACATGACTGGTCACAGCTCTCCTGATGGGTGAGTTCCTGGCCCAGATACCCATTGCTTGAGGGACCTCAGCCATATTCACTTTACTTCAGGCTCAACTTATTCTGTGGAATGCTCCACTGCCTCAGCAATTCTGTCTTCTCCCAACCCCCTTCCACTGTTGTTGTGCTTCAGTCATTTCAGTCACATGCAACTCTTTGTGGCCCCATTTGGGGTTTTCTTGGAAAAGATACTGGAGTACTTTGCTATCTCCTTCTCCAGCTCATTTTACAGATGAGAAAACTGAGGCAAAAAGGGTTAAGTGGCTTGCCCAGGGTCACAAGGCTAGTAAGTATCTGAGGCCACATCTGAACTGAGGTCTTCCTGACTCCAGGCCCCAGTGCTCTAGCCACTGCAGTGCCACCTAGCTGCCCCCAGCCCCCTTGCACCTCCCCTTTGTTTTCTCTTCTCCAATTAGAAGTAAGCGACTGTCTTCTTTTCCTGGATTTGTGTCCCTGGTGCTTAGCATAGTACTTGGTACATAGCAGACACTTATTAAATGTTTTATCTTTCTATCTGTCAAGGGTTTCAAGAAGAAAATAACAGGATGACCAAAGTCCATTGGGAGCTTCCAGTAACTACAGTGGATGGAATCCGAGACCCACTTACCTGGGTCTCCTTCAAACAGGAAATTTGCTTCTGTAAGGAGAGATTTTCTTCTTTCAATTCTGCAGTGTCTTGCAGCTGACGCAATTCTTTCATCTTATATTGTTTGACCTCATCTTTCAGTAGGGCCTTTTCAGTTTCTATACATTTGCACTCCTGGGGAGAAAAAAACTTGATCACGAAAAAGACAAATTCGATTTAACATTTCTCTTCTTCCATCGTCAGGAGAGCTTTGAGATGTTTCAGAAGGTATTAGATCTAAAAGCACAAAAGGCAGAAACTTATCTATTTAAAAAAAAATGCTTAATCTTTCTGGTGGCTATGGCAGAAGGTGATAAACATTATTCATTCACCAAACATTCCTTGAGGCTCTGTTATACCACAAGGTATATATAACTTGGGTCTTTGATCACCTTTTACAGAAGGCCTTTCCCAGTCCTCCCTCAGGTGCTAGACCCTTCCCTTCTAAGGTTGCCTTTTATCTACTCTGTATATATCTTGTATGTACCTATTTATTGATATGATTTCTCCCTCATTAGAATGTAAGCTCCTTGAGAGCAGGAACTGTTTTTGCCTTTCTTCATATCTTCAGGGCTTAGCACAGGGCTTGGCACATCATAAGCAATTAACAAGTGCTTATCAACTGATTATCAGAACCATTTGAGTTTACAAGGGTCTCATTTTCACTTTTGCCTTCTGACTTCTTAGGTCATTAAAATTCACAGTGCTTCTGTACATACATTTAGGCTTAAGTAGAATAACTTGGGTTTAGCTATTTCTCCTGCTTCAGGCACAGAATCCATTAGTAATAGGCAAAAGCAAATTCTTTTGTCACTGAATTTCAGTTTAAAAAATGTTGTTTGTAAAAACATTCACTTTTTTTTTAAATTTTGAGTTCCAAATTCTCGATTTCTCCTGCCCTTCCCCCACCCATTGAGATATCATCAATATGATATCAATTATACAAGGGAAGATAGGCAAACATATTTCCATATTAGTCATGTTGCCAAAAAAATGAAACAAAAAAAAAGTAAAAAAGTAAGCTTCAATCTGCATTCAGAGTTTATCAGTTCTCTCTCTGAAGGTGAACAGCATTTTTCATCTGGGTCTCTTGGAGTTGTCTTGGTTCATTGTATTAATCAGAGTAGCTAAGGCTTTCATAGTTGATCATTGTTACGATATTTTTTTTTAAAAGAGAAGTGGCTAGTTTAGCTTGGCAGCTCAAGCAAGAAGGTCTCTAAAAAATAAATGGTAGACTCCTGGCAAAGATGGCTGCCTTAACAGAGGCAGAAAGCCCAGGTCCACCACATCTATTCCAGCAAATCAAAGTTTAAGATAATAATCAAGAAATCCAATGGGAAGACTACAATAAGCAACTTTATCCACCCCAGAATTACACAAAAAGTCATCCAGAAGCCCACAGCAATAAAAAATAGGGCTTCACTAGCAAAGCCAGAGCCAGCATAGAAAATCAAACCAGCAATCTCTCAGCTTAAGCAGATACTGTGACCTGCAAAGGTCTGTATCCTGAAGCAGAAAAAATGGAAAGTTCCTTAGAAACAACCAGGAGAGGCAAGAAACAGTGGTCACAGCAGCCAGTACTCGGACAAGGACACCCAGAACCAAGGCGCTCTGCAGTCTCTGGCAGTCTGCTCTGAGATGCCATACAAAGCCCCAGAGATTCACTCTGAACCTCAAAGATCCAGATGGCCTAACCCTGGAGATCAGCACAAGAACCCAAATGATCTAGATCAAGATGAGAGTAGGGTTGACCACCCCACCCAAAAGCACAGTAGGAGACAAAGCTTGGCTCTAGCACAAAGCCAGGGTCATTGCCAGTCCTCTTGATTTATGTCTTGCCACTGGACGCCCGATGACTCTGGAGGAGATAGTTAAGGCTGATGACTTTGCACAACTCTGCTTCACTTAAATCCAATTCACTTGCAAGTCAAGATATCACTCTCCTGATGTCATTGTCCTCTTTAAAGAATGAAGGACAAACAACAATCTGTAAGTAGTAGCAGCTGCTCCCTGGGAACTCAGCCAGCAGGTTCAAGTTGGGCAATGCTGCTATCATTACCACTATTATTCTTCTTCTCCTTCTCCCCCTTCTTCTCCCTTTTCCTCTTTCTTCTTCTCCCTTCTTCTCCTTCTCCTGTTTCTCCTCCTTTTGTCCCTCTGTCCACATGGGGAGTCATACCCTTACATGTGGGTGCTTTGTCCAAAGGAATATAATTTTTTGATCACATACTTCACAAGGTATCTTGCAAATCTTATCCTGGGATTTGAGGATTAAATTTTTTCTTCTGTATTTATATATTCTATCACTATTTTTTTAAAAAAGCTGAGACAGTTAACTCTTTTGTCTGGTGTAGTTTCATTTATGATTTCTTGAAATATAGCTGTGAAAAAACAGGCTCTGAAAAAGCCCATGGTAATTCAAATGAAGCTACTTGACTACGCCTTTAAACCCAAATCACTCTGGCTTTCACTGATTGTCCAATAATAGGTCCCAGCCCAAGCCTCACTTGCTCATTTGTTTGGGTTTTGATGGCTCAGAGTCAGTGCAAAATAGCAAGTTGTTTTCTGTTCTGGTCAGAAACTCTGAGTGTCTTCCCAAAAGAATCAGTCTGGGAAGGGAAGACCAACTAGGCCACCTTTTATCTCAATTCCAACCTGGCCTTTAATCATTGTCTGGGCATTGCCTCAGACAAACTGAGACCTGGGAAAGACCTTAGCTTAAAAAGGTCTCCCCCTGCATCCATGGCCATTGCCTGTCATCTTGACTGATGTCTTGCCACTGGACTCCCTGATGACTCTGGAGGAGAGAGTGATACTAATGACTTTGCACAGCTATGCCTCACTTAAATCCAATTCACTTGCAAGTCAAGACATCACTCTCCTGATGTCATTGGTCCTCTTTGAGAACGAAGGACAAACACCAACAGCACAAAGCCCCAATTCAAGAACTAAAGCAGGAGAGGTGAGTAAACCAAAGAAGATACAGATGACTATAAAACATTATAACACATCAGAGATACCCAAAAATCCATGTGGAGAGTTTCTCCATAACTACAAGCCAAGACTCAAAGAAAAAATGGACTTCCCACAAGGAGTACATGAATACCTAGAAAAAAAATGAAGCAAGATAAAAATGAAATAAAAGTGCTGGAGGAAAGAATTGAAAGGAAAATAAATGAGGTGGGGGGGAAGGGGGTAAATCTTAATGAACTACAAGATTCCCTGAAAATTGGAACGGACAAAACAGAAATCAATAAATATCTCTCAAATCAAAAACAACTGATTTGGAAAACAAGTCAAGGAGGGATCACTTAAAAATCATTGAACTCTCTGAAAACTATGATTTAAAATTTTAAAAGGCCTGGAAACTATATTATGAGAAATAATAAATGAAAGTGGCCCAGATTTATTAGAACCAAAGGGTAAAGTGAAGATAGACTCCACTGATCACCTCCTGAAAGAAATCTCAAAAGGAAAAGTCCCAGGAATGTCATAGCCAAAAGCAAGAGCTCCCACATCAAAGAAAAATTACTGTAATAAGCTAGAAAGGAGTTCAAGTATCAACAAACCAATTAGTATCACATAAGACCTGTCTGCTTATACTACAAATGAGGAGATATTGGAATATAATATTCCAAAAGGCAAAAACATAGGCTTATGACAAAGAATTATTTACATTGCAAAGTTGAGCAAAATCCTACAGGAGAAAATGGACCTTTAATAGAATAGAAAACTTTCAAGTATTCCTGATGAAGATATCAGAGCTGAATAGAACTATGAAATTGTAGTAAACACAAGAGTTCAGAGAAACTGAGAAAGGTAAATTTGTTTGAGTTATTGGGCTATAATGATGATATCATGTTAACATTCTAATAGGGAGAGAAGAACAATTAAGGTCCCTTTAGAACCTTAATGTTTTCAATGTGTAATAAGAAAAACTGAAGACACCCAAGAGTGGACCAATTCTGGGAAGGGAGTTATAAAATGGAGTGTGCATGAAAAGTATACAAATATGGAAAAGGCCATTGGGGGCAGAGAAGGAAAAACGAGCATCAGATGAGCCTCACTCACACACATGCACATGCGCATTCACACACACACAGAGTACGGTGTGGACATGTATCAAACACAACAGGAAAACAGGCTAGGACAGGGAAAGAAAGGATTAAGAGAGAGGAAAATACCAATGAAGGAACAGTCACAAACAAAACAAACTTCCTGATCCTAAAGAAGGTAAAGAAAAGCAAAGAACTGGTGCCCATTAGTTGAGGAATGGCTCAACAAACAGATGCATTAATTAATGGAATATTATGCCAGGTTCACCCTATTCATATCTGTTGTTGTTCAGACATTTTAAACATGTGCAACTCTTCATGACCCCATTTGTAGTTTTCTTGGCAAAGACACTAGAGTGGTTTTCCATTTCCTTCTCTGGCTCATGTTACAAGTGAGGAAACTGAGGTAAACAGGGTTAAGTGACCTGTCCAGAATCTCACACAGCTAATAAGTGTCTGTGGCCAGATTTGAACTCAGGTCTTCCTGACTCTATGCCTAGCACTCTACTCACTGCACCATCTAGCTGCCCCAAAGATACTGGAGCTGTTTGCCATCTCCTTCTCCAGCTCATTTAAGGGTTGCTAGGTGGTGCAATGGATAGAGTGCTGGGCCTGGAACCAGAAAGACTCATCTCTCTAAGTTCAAATCTGGCCTCAAACACTTACTAGCTGTGTGACTCTGGCCAAGTCATTTAACCCTGTTTGCCTCAGTTTCCTCATCAATAAAGTTCTTATCTACCACCCAATCAAAATCCTGGTAGCTGTTGCCTACAGATCCCCAGGTCACTCCCCTTCCTTCCTCAATGAGTTTGGTACCTGGCTCAAAATGTTTTTCTCTTCCACAATTTATGCTCTAATACTAGGGGACTCCAACATACATATTGATTCTCCCTAAAACACCCCAACCACCCAGTTCCTCAACCTACTCAACTCCCATGAGCTACTGCTCCACCCCACCTCAGCCACACACAAAGATGGCCATACCCTTGATCTTGCCATCACCCACAAATGTACCACCTCCATGTTCAAGAATTCTGAAATGCCCTTATCTGACTATACTAGCTTTCCACCTCTCTCTCT